CTGAGTGGGGCTCTCTGCTCCACAGCAGGGCTGCCCCCTCCCCTCTACTCCCTGGATGCAGCTCTGGCAGAGACTTGCAGGCACAGCAGTGTCTGCCTGCTTTCCTCCTGCTCTGCCCCACCCCTCACCACTCCCTGCTAAGCAAGGATCCCCCATCCCCTCTGCCTTACACAGACACCTCAGCATTAGGTAGCCAATCACATGCTGGCTATGGTCCGTGCTGTGGCAGACAGCAGTGTTGGCTTAGGGCCTTTTGGATCTAATAACAGTTAGGCTGGTAATGTCCCTCCATTTCTTCTTTGTTTAAGAAGAGCTTGAACTAATGAGAGAGGCTTTTTGTTTTCTGATGGGGTGATAAATGTTGATAACAGAGCTGATAAATGCTCTGTTATCAAGGAGAGGAGAATTGCTTCCTAATCCTGCTGGGGCCTGACCATGCCCTCCTCAGATCAGCCTTGTGAAGGGAAGGGAGGGCTGCTCTAGCACCCCCCAGCTTCTAGCCTGAGCTGCTGTAGGCATGTGCCTGCATGTCTGGATATCTGTGCAGTTACAAAGCAATTTAACCTAGCCAGGCTAGACTAACCTGCAAAGATTGAATGAATACAAGGTCAGGCTTTTTGAATGTCTGTCCCTAGCTGTATAGATTTAAACCAGTTTCTGATTAGTTAAACTGGTTTATATGTAACTTGTATCCCTAGCTTATACCAGTCACTGAAGTTAGAGATGCATGTGTGGCTCACTGTAATTTTTATTTTTGTGTCACTTTTCCTTCAGAGAGTGACAGAAATCGGCATAATATATCTGCAACTGACTTAAATATTTGGATCTCTTAGACAGAAATATAACCCCTCAAAGTCAATTTAAACTTCCAGGTAGAAAGGTCCTGATTCTGTTTGCTTCCTTCCTTGCTTCAGTGGCCATGTACAGTAGTTAAATTTCTCCTGGCAGAACCACTGATCTCCTAGGTGAAACCACAAATATACAGGTTAGATATTCAGGATTTTTTCCCCCAAAGCAAAAATGGCTGCTTTGGAAGAAACCCAGGACAATCAATCCGACCCAGGAGAGTTTCTCCTGAAAAAGCAAATGTTTGTACATGTTCTCTTCTGAGAGAAGCCACAGTACGATCCTCCAGCATCTTAGGATGCGTTGCTTCCCCTCTCCCCTCCCAGCAGAAAAAATGTAGAAGTTTCTTCTGACATTCAAACTTGGGTGTCATCCGTCTCCTCCATTAAAGGAAACAATTCTAAGAGCTAATTGCTGATACACTTCAGTTACAAACTAGTGATTCAGCAGCACTTCATATCTGATCCTTTCTGTCATCATGGAAGCAGAGACAAAAAACAGGGTTGTATTTCCTGTTGTCCTGGGTTTGCCCCATCCAAAAATATACATTTGGCTTTCTCCCTGGGGTCCACTCCACCAGTACCAGAAAGCTGGCTGTAAATATTGTGTGCCATTGGAGGTCACCAGCTTTTATTATCACATCTGTTGGTTGATTCGATGCTAGTTTCTGTGTCTCAGACATTTTCTACCACATCACTTTTTCTTCCTAGTAAATAACTCATTCTTTATATAGATACCCAGCTCTGAGTAATGGAATCTGAAAGTTTCTCTGTAAGAGAATCTTATGTTAACTTTAGTTGGATCTTAAGTTTGTCAGGTTAATTTATGAAGAATGTCACAAGCTGTACTATTCAAGAGACAAGTAGTAATTAAGTTAGAAATCTGTGATCCATTCTACAGATAATACACTAGTGGAAACTAAACTAAAGCTAGTTCACGCAGCCTTTTGTTTTATGTGGGTACTAATTATAGGGCTTAATATATATATAACATGTTCTCATCCATACAGCCATTAAATTGGTTATTATCTCACAAGGGCAATATATATTCACTAGCCAATTGCCCATCAAGAATGATGAGGGGGAGGGGGTTGGGATGGAGTGCCGCCACCTAACACCCCATGCTGCCACTGTTCTGCCTCTTGCAGGAAGTGGGATGGCCTCGGCTCCCCCACCCTCTGTCCAGTCCTTGGCACAGCTTCAGAATCATGGTGGTGCTACCCCATGCTTGCAGCACTCTGATTGGCTGTTTCTGTCAGCCAGTCAGAGCGCGATTAAAGTATTACAGACAGACAGACAGACGTAGACTTTTATAATATTAGAATATTCAGCAATGGACATTTAACTTTTATAGATGAGGAAATCTAGGTTTTTAATATAGCTATTTAAAATGCATTATCTCATGTAAATACAACACTTTCCATCTGAAATGATATATATAGTCTTTACATATCATTTGCATCCTTGAATATGGTGATAATGTTGATACAGAAAGCATGCAAAACATAGTCATTTTGTAATAGATGAATTTTCAAAAGGTTTGTTTAGAAATGCATAGCACAAAGTGACTTATCTCCCAGACAATTAAATATATGTTTTTATTTGTTAGGAGTACATGATAGCTTTAGAAACATTTCCACTCATCAGTAATCTTCAAAGAAAAGAAAATACGATTATGCCCTTTAAACTATGTAAGAACATCTTTGTTTGTCTTTGTTGGTACATCTGTAATTAAAACAACATTTTGAAGAAAGCTTCCTTTGTTAAGAGCTCAATTAAAAAAGGAAATTGCTATGTGACATACCTGATGTTTTTAAAGTCAAAAATACAGAAAAAGTTAAAAATAAGATTTTCCCCTCAGAAATGGCAAGGCTTTGTCTGGGCCATAAGGAAGAAGGCCCTTTGCTCCTCTAGGAATTATTTTTCACAAACACACGCTTCTCTTGCAGGCACTTAGTGACATTGTGTTCCCTTCCTGATTGTCTGCATGTGGTGCTCTGTTCCTTCTTAGTGATCTAGAGGCATTTTTGTATCCAGAAAGATTCCATTCCTGGACACACAGCTTTGTGCCCAGAGACATCTCCGTAGGTAGGTAGGCAAGACCTCTCATCTTCTCCCCCAAATAGCTGTGGCTGCAGGGCGTGGATCTACCTTCTGCAGAGGGGTTAGAACTTGGGTCTCTCTTGCTTTCCAGAGCAGCACTGTAGCTACCATACCGCAGGTCAGCTGTTATCCAGTCCTGTGTCTGGTGCTCCTTTTGCAGCTGATGCCCTGGGCAGCCATGAGAGGGCAGGCATGTGGATCAAGAGGAAGGGCACAAGCCAGAAAGTGTGCTGTTCAGTGAGGTGGCTACTTGCCTGGAAGCGGGGAGGCCCTTGCTTCTAGCCTTAGTCCTTGTCTCTAAGCTTCTTCCCTGCATTGCCCACATCCATTTTTTCCCCAATATCTATGTTTGTGGCTCATCTTCTAAAGGAGTGCTGGAAAAGGCAGAAAATATTGGCTGAACTGTGGTGTAGTGGCTAGACTGCTGTACTAAGAAGTGAGAGTGACCCTGGTTCACTCTTTGAGTGAGAGGTGCAAAAACTTAGCATCTTCAGCTTGCCAGGTGAGTGTCTTCGTATCTGAGGTATGGGGGCAAAAGATGGACAGGTGGATATATGCACAGCCCTTTTTCACTCCTGAAACAAAGTCTGGTAGTTGTGGGTTTTGGATGACTCCATTGTCAGATGCTCTGTGTCCACAAGGGGTGCGCACCTGGGCTACGACTGCTACAGAACATGCTCAGTATGTGCATCTATGCAGTTATGCCTTTAGAGCTATTAGTTAAAAATTAAGGTAAAATTTAAATGCCCCTGGACATGCAAGTGCTAAAAATTCCTTGTAAACTACCAAGAAATTGCCACTTAGATGACCGGGAAAAATAGAATGTCAGCCTCAGCCTTCTTGTGGATTTGGGCAAGGGGATATTGTATTACCTGGTTGACAGAAAGATAGATCAAAGATATGTTATTGAGCCTATTGGCTGCTGTGCACCCAACAGGCTGGCTAAGAATCCCTTTCCTTTGCCAACAGATGCCATTCTGCACTGAGCTGGAACAGGTTTCTGGACCTGGCTGAGAATGTCATGTGTTAAATTGCTATCTCACATCTAACTGCTAGATTGACCTGGATTTTTGAGGTTGTGGGATTTTTCTCTTCCTCTTAGCAGTCCAGTGACCTGTAGGTTGAATTTTTTCCTACTTGGCTGGTGCCCAAACAGGGTAATTTTCTAACAGCAGACCAGGTTCACTGATAAACTGCATCAGAAAGTAGATTATGAAAATGCCTCTTTTGAATAGAGTAGGGGTGAGCTGGGAGTTGGGAATCTGAGGCAATATTCTTTGAGAGAGAAATTACATACTTCTTTGAAAGAGATCATTTACATTTTCCCCCTTTCCTAGCTTACTCTTAAAAGACCAAGACAATTTATCTGAAGTGAAAAGTTCAGTTCACTTGTGGGGAACCATGTGTTCATAAATATGATGAAGTTTTTCATTTTACAACTTTTGTTTTGCTGTTATTTCATTTTGTCTTCTAGGAAAAGTGTAATGATAGCATTGAAACTGCCCTATGTAGAAAGAAGCTTGATAATATATTTCAGCATAATTTCTGATAGAGACTTAAAACAGTAAATGATAATTTTAGTACAAGTACTGTTCAAGAAAAACTGAGTGAAACCCTTGCCTCATTTGCTTTTAACTTTGTAAGGCCACGCTTTCACCTACTGGCTTTTTATGTTATATGCCATTATTTTGATTCCTTAATTTTGCCCGTATTGACTGAGGTTGGGCAAGTTCAAACAGAACTTTTTGCTAGACAATAAAAAAAAATCATAAAGCTACAGATTTTTGGTTAAAAGTAAGGTAAAGACAATATTCCTTTAATACCTCAAAAAGATGTTGTCAGTTTATTTGGACTGCTGGTGTGACCTTAGCTTTTAAATGCAGGAATTGAATTAATGCCCTTAATAAAACCAAAGAGAAAATAAAAATGAAAAATGCCAAATTTAATGTGATCAAGCTAACATATATTGTATAAAATTCTTCACAGTGTCCCTTAAAATAAGCTGTTGCATACTTGAAATATTCATATTGTTTTTAATATTATTGTTTACAGACTGAAGAACTTACCGTTCACTTTTACTAAGCTTAAAGAACTTGCAGCTTTGTGGCTGTCTGACAACCAGGTAATATAACTTCATTTTTATCTCATTTTTAACAGCAAAGTATAGGATGTCTTATTAATTATCACAGATAAAATCTATATTTTAACAGATTATTTCAGCTGTACTTATGAAGTATTTAGACTCATTAGATTCAATGTACACTTTGTTAGCCACTTTACTAGAAAAACTGACTGTGGAAGGATGTGTTCCTTTTATCTGCTAAGTTTCAGTGTCCTGAAAATTGTGATAAATTAAAGCTAACAGTATTCACAGGGCTCTCTCTCAAATGACACATTTGTGGCCTGTGGCAGGAAACAGGGCCCATGAATTTTATACTGGACACGGTCTCTGTCCTCTCCATGCCTTAATCTCTCTATGACACCACTCTTAGTGTTTTGTTCCCCACACCCCTCAGTTTCTCCATTTATCCCTTTTTTACTTCCATGAAAAAGGAAGGCTTTCTTTTAACGGTTATACATTTGATACTCTTTTGGTGTTTTGCTATCTTTATATCTTTTACTTGATCAAAAGTAGCATTTAAATTCTTTGCTCATAGAAAATAAAGATGGTAAATAAAGGTAGGTTCAAAATCATCAAAATTCCTAAGTCCCATACTTAAGAGTGATTTAGGTACTTGCTATTAGATTTGTAAAGGTATTTAAACACCCAACTCCTATTGAAATCAATGGGAACTAGGCATCAAATACCATTTAAAATGACCTGTAGTAACCCATGTCCTTTTGCCTTTCAACTTCTAAGTTCCAAAGTTGGTTTAAAATTTTGATTTAAATTTTTCAAATGTATCTTTTCTTTGTCTAAAAAAGTGTGGGTGGGTGGGTGGATAGATTAGGTGGAGGAGAACAAAATTATGTGTTCATGACAAGTCTTCCTTTATTTTTCTTCAATAGAATATGTTCAAAATAGAATTAATAATATAATATAAATATTGTTTGTTATTATCAGTTTGAAATAAATGCGCATAGCTTATTGCTGCTCATTAACTTGTATCAGCTGATTCAGCCGTTTCATCTGTCCACTTTTATCCTTCAGTAAATTAAGTTAATCTGGTGTAACTGTTTTATTTAGATGTAAATTGCCCTAATTTAACTTCCAATTACCTGGGGATACGAATGGAGATACAAAACAATTATAGTGGATTCAGTGATAAATCAACACTGAAAATGCTAAAACTTCATTAATAAGCAAGTATATAGATTTCATGCAAATACAGAGTCATTCTTAACTGCTACTTTTACTTATATAGCTAAGATAATGTTTTAGTGTTTTTAACAACTTATATAAATATCTCTACACAAATTCTGAGGAGATTTTGATGAAGTCAATTAAAAGCTTTTCTCTTTCTCTCATTTCTGTTTCTACTTGTCAAAAACTGATCTGTATTGTACAGCCATAAAAATGTAGCTCCCAAACTAAAGGAAACATTAGAGTGAACTATTGAGTGATTATTTAACAGCTCAGCTTGATGCACACATACTGAACGTTTCTTTTCTCTTTAAGATGAGGGAGGAGGTTGTTCTCAATAACTTGGGCTTTCTACAAGAGACAATTTGAATGTTGTACTTGTCTACGACGTTGGCTCCTACATGCTACATTAAAATATACTACTTTATCTGAATATTCACAAAGCCTGATGACAAATATTCCACTCACTTGTACCAATATCATTCTACTGTAACTGTACTGACCATAGTAAAGTTACTCCTCATTTACTCCAGGGAAATCAGATTAAAATCAGATGCTAGATGCTTACCCTGTGCTTTTTCCTAGCCGTCCCAGCTTCTTATTTTACTTAATCACTGTCATTTTTCTGTAGTACTTGCACTTGAAAAATTTCTACACGTATGATTTTACATATGTATAATTAAGAATGAGAAACCCAAGGGGAAAATTCCAAATTAAAATAATGCATTTTTCAATCTCCAGATGCAGAAACTAATCATTAGAATAGAGGAACTAATTACATTATATATTTTGTGTTTTATCAGATCATAAAAAACATTTTTGTTGAATACAGATTACTGAAATTCTGATGAACATTTTCATTTGTCCTTTATTTATAGTCTAAGGCCCTTATCCCTTTACAAACCGAGGCTCATCCAGAAACAAAGCAAAGAGTACTGACTAACTATATGTTTCCCCAGCAACCCCGTGGTGATGAAGGTAAAAAACAAAACAAAAAACTCAGCAGTTTCTTCTACAAAGGCTGCAGCATGTATTATTATGATTATTTATATCACAGAAGTGGGGAGGTGTGGAATAAAGATATCCAAGCATGATTCGGTGGATGGGAATATAACAAACAGTGCATGTAAAGCAGCATATTTTGGAGCAAGATTTGTCCTCTTTTTTGACGTCAGAAGAAAGAGACGAATTTTGTTACTTGACACAGGATTAACCCCATTGAATTCATTTAATTGATGAACGATGTAACATAATATAAAATATAGTCTTACACTTACACTGTGGGTGGGAGGAGAGCTGCTTTTCTTTCATAGCTCTGGTGGCAAAAGCTGTTTAAGGCTAGATACTGTTAGTTGACCAAATATGTAAGTGTAATCTTCCACTATGCTTAAGTCCCTGAAAAACCATTAAAACATCTATTTTCATAATGGTTTTTCATATTCACCTCAAGACTAAGGTATAAAAAGTGGCAAAGAGAAGGAAGACTCACCAGCCTTTTGAGTGAATGGATTTTCAGGGACTCAAGCAGGATGGAATAGAATCACACTTGCCTAATAAGAAAGGATCTGACCCTTAATGTCTACCACTCTCCCATCCTCCTTCTTCTCACCTAAAGCACTTTCTTAATCTTCTGATTACACAGTCCCATAACCTTAATAGGAGTTCTCTAATACTATAGTTGACAGTATTTAGTTCAAATGTAACCAGTCTGCAGCAGCTTTTCAATTTATTTCTTTAAAGTTATTTGCAAAATTAAGACAAACTTGTGTCACTTTTCCATCTCTTTATACAATTATAAGACAAAAGTTCAGTGTAACTTTTTTGACAGGCATGCCACAAGTTAACCTTCCCCGTTTACCAGTTGTCACTGTTATTCACCCTGTTCTCCCCAGAGTCCCTGGTAGTTTGTGCCCTGAGGTACCAGAATGGAGGCGGGGGGCTTTGGCCCTGGCCACACGGAGCAAAGCAGGGGCAGAACACTTCTGCAAGAAGAGGTGTCACTGCCAAGAGCCAGGTTAACCACTCCCTAGCCCCACAGCTATCACAGTTTTATATGGCCAGTGAAGATCTAGAGCTCTGAATGCAGCAACTGCGGAGCCCCAGGGAAGGTTTAACCTAGCTCTTGGCTGTAATATCTGTCTCTACCTCTTCCAGCAGCATCCTGCCCCAGCGCTGCTTCACAGAGCACTCTGCTGCCTGCCTTTCTGCCACCAACCTACACTGAGTGCCTGGGGCTCATGTGCCCCACACAGCAGCTGCCTGTGTCTCTTGTAGCTTGTGCGTGATAGGTTGGCCATGTCTGTAGTAGTGCAAGGCTTAAGGCTCAATACAACATATATATATATTTTTTAGTTTAAAATAAATGTCATGTGCTTTGAATGGTGCATTTGTTGTATATTCTCTTACTCGCCATTTTTTTTATATATTACTTTGGAATGTAACTATAGATTTCCAGTCGGACAGTGATAGTTTTAACCCTACTTTGTGGGAGGAGCAACGGCAGCAGCGTATGACTGTAGCCTTTGAATTTGAAGAAAAAAAGGAAGAGGAAGACAATGCAGGGAAAGTTAAGGTAACTGTGGGTTTTCTCGCTTTTGTTTTAACTTGTTCTTGTTCTGATGTTGTTGCATGTGTGTTGTGGGTAAAATCAAATAGATAGAGGCCATGACAGAACTTGAGTTTTTTGTTTTAAGCTATATAAAGTATTTGAGAACAAATACAATAATTAATGAAAAAATAAACAGACTATTCTCCCCATCAGTATGCTCTGACATTTTCAGATGAGGTTTTTGTTACCTGGATATCACAACTTGAATGTCTTCAGGATACTCTGAGGCTCATAGATTTAGCTGTTTGGATACAAAGTGGGCACACTACACACGAAGTGAAAAGCTCAGTAGACTAATTCTACTGCCCATTAGTGCATCACAGTAAAACTTGTGCTAATGAGCTCATGTGCAGTAGAATTAGTCTACTGCACATTAATGTCGCTAAAAATGTGTGCCCTGGTGCTACTGCGTAGTAGCGCAGGTTACTGCGTGTTGAGTTAGTACCTGTTATTTCAGGTACTGGGCTTAATGCACAGTAACTACAGCACATTAATGCACGTGTAGATGTGCCCAGTGTCATACAAATGTAAATCACATTTATGAATGTGTGGAAACTGAGAATTGCATGGTATAGCTGTGCAAACTTTGGCTGGCTGTGCAAACTTGCCCATGCGGGGAGAGCCCAGCTACATCTTCACATGCCCTTCTTGTGATAGTTCTAGTAAAAAGAAAAAAAAATGGTAGAAAGATGCAAGTTGTTAGCCAACTCTAGATGATCCTTTTACAACAGGCTGACTTCACAGATTCATGCAAAAGGAAAGAAATAGGCTTTGCAATAGATATTTTTATTTTGTGCTATTTTAAAGAGATTCAGTTACCTTCCTTTAGTTGAAAAACGGTTTTGCCTTATATCTGGGACAAGGGCAGGTTGCCTGAAGCATAAAGGTAAATAGTCAGAAGTAACCCACTGCCCAAGATTGTAGGGCAAGAGATGTTGGGGAGTCGCAATCCAAAACCCCTGTGAGAAGGGGTTCAACATAGAAGGAACCAGTCAGAAAAGGGAAACCAGAGGATGATGTTGGTGAAACAGTAGTCAGGAGATAATTGTTCTGAAGTGAGGAAGCAAGCAGATCAGAAAGGAGAGTGGTGACCAAAAAAATTGACTGACTCTGGTGGGTCAGTTTTTATAGGCAAAGTCCACAAGAGGTTATAAAGTGGCTTAATTGTTCTGCTGGAAGAAACTGTTCAAGGAACTGTGGAGGTAATGCTTGGAAATCTGGGTATGCATGTTCTGCTTCTCCATTTGTCTGGGAATGATCTGCAGAGGCAAGGACAGACTCTATGCCAAAGCCTTACAGAGCTCATGCTAAAAAATAGGAGCTAAACTAAAGGCCTAGGTCCAACAGAACACAACCAGGGAAACTGAATCAGAAAATGTATTCTGTGAACAAGTGGATAATTCCATGGGCTATTGGGAAGAATGGGATGGGAAGTGAGACATCTTTGTTGTCTACTTCCCAAGATAACTGTAGAGCTACTAGAGCTACAGTGTACTAGAGCTAGAGCTGCTGTATAGCTACTACATGAGAGCTACGATGAAATCCATGGACAAGGTTCACCAGTGACATGAAAGTAACAGCTGAGACTTGGAAAAGAAGAATGTTATGGCAATCTTAGTACCACAGGTCTAGGAGCAACTGAGGAACAAAGAGGCAATTCAGAAGAAAAGGAGCCTATTACAGTGTTGGTAATTAGGACTAAGTGAGACAGGAAATTGCCTGAGTTGTCTGGTGAATGAGTCATTGGAGAGAACAGTCTGGATAGCATGAAATAGTTCCTTCTGTACAGTGCCTCAATGTCAGCATTTTCAGTGGTCAGCAGTGTCAGCATCATCCAGTCCTTATATTCTCCATTGGCATAAGATTCTCTGCTTCCAGAATAACAGCAGGGAATTATCATAGATCAACTACTTTGCAACTGTAAAGTTTTGAAAATTACTGAAAGCAACCCACATTGCAAAATGGCAACTATAAGATAAGCTCATATGGGTAATGGTATCAACATATCTTGTTAAAGTGTGTAAAATAAAAGAACACACACGCACACTTTTATTTACAGCTACTAAATGGACTTCTCACTGGGGCTTCCATTTCCTTTTAACTTTTTAATTGCAAGTTCCCAACCATTTGGTTATGAGCAGAATAAATGCACTCTTTTCTACTGAAGATTTTGTTAAACGGAAAACAAACTGACTTTAAAAAAAAATCATGGCCTCATAGTAAATAATTACATTAAAATCTTAAATCAAATCAATCAGTTCTCTGGTTAATTTACATCAGCCTAAAATCTTGTGACTAGTGGATTAACGTGTCATGTGTATCCATTTGTATGTTATGCATTCGCTAAATAAGAAGCTGCACCTCTGACTTATAGTAACATTTAGAAATGAGTTCAAACAGAATGCTATTTCTATTAATATACAAAAGTGTTTCAGAAACTAATGGCAAAATCACTGCTCATGTTTTCTCTCTGCGACAAAATGGGAAACTACACAACAGTGGGAAACACTGATGGTGGCATTATTGAACCCACCCATTGTTTGCAACCATATAGAGAATTGATGTGGCTCAGTTATCATTGCACACACAATGGTTTTGTTTTGAAATTGCCATTAGCTTCTAAAACACCCTCATATTTTTAAGAATCCCACATTGGAAAGTGCTATATTTTTCTTGTTATGGCATTGGTACATATTTCATTTTTATATTACAGTATATTAAAAACCACACGCATATCTATTTCAATGCAGCTTGATTATATATTTCAATAACAATATTTCACTTGAATAAATTCTCGTTGTAAAATGTAGTACTAGACAGGGTAATTGCTGGTTTATACATTGGTTCAAATCCTGCCATCTACTGTGCAGAGAGGAGCAAATGTACAAGTACTGTCCATGTGTATTCAGCATGCATGTTCAAGGAACTAACCCCAAGGTGGCCTGCTTTGTTTATTCATCTTGGGGTAGTTGTCCCCACATGAACATCTGCTTGTGACTGTACAGTTTGAGAGATGATCATATCAGGAGAGAGCTGCTGTGTGCGAAATGGGCCCTATTCGATTCAGATTTGGATTCGGCCTGAATCAGGGACAGCGATTCAATTAATTGATTCAGATCACTGTCCCCAATTTGATTTGGCCAAATCCAAATATGAAGATTCGATGCTGATTTGAGGAATCAGAGATTCGGACATAGACACAGCTTTAAATGTTTTTTCTACATACCTTGAGGTACCAGGTGCACTTTGTGAATGCAGAGAGGGGCACGGTGGGGGGAGGTCTCCTGCGTGCTTAGTAGCAAACTCGGAAGTGGACAGGAAGTACTTCTGGTCCACTTCCGGGTACACTGGGGAATGCACGGGGAGGCCCCTCCGCACCCCCCTGGCTTGGTAATCGGCCCTGGAGGGACCCTGAGTGCCCCCCCCGACCCAGAAGGCACCAGTCTCCAGAAGTGGACTTGAAGTGCTTCTGGTCCACTTCTGGGTCTGCTGCTGAGCATGCTGGGGAGCCCCCCGCACTTCTGTGGGATGCTCAATCTGCCCCAACATCGCAGTATTCATGAGCCACCTGCTACCTAGAAGTATGTAGAAAAAACATTTAAAGCTGTGTTTATGACCGAATCGCCAAATCTGTCCAAATATCTCCAAATTGATTCAGAGAGTTCCAATTCGATTTAGAGAGATTAAAGAGTCCTTTGATTCGGATTTGGAGATTCAGCCACCAAATCGGACTGAATCTCCGCTGAATTGAATCGGGGACTGAAGCTCCGCATAGCCTAGTGCTGGAATCAGAAACATGGGATACTCGCTTCCTAATCCCATATATTTTCTACTGAAAAATATTAGAGTTCATTTTCCATTTGCACTTAGTTTTATCTAAGGCTTATTAGGTGGGGTTGAAGTTTAGCAGGTATGAATGGCAACATGACCTCTGAACCAGTATAGTTATTAATGGATTGGGAGAAAAAGTACAGAAGTAACAAGAGTACAGAATGCTTTTTACACCATATAAGTTACCCAAGTTCCACTGGACTAAGACAGACCATCTTCATAAATGTTTGGCTCACTGCATCTGAATGTCCACATCACCAGTGCTTTCCCTATGTGTATTAAACCCTGCTCCAGTGGGACTAAGCCAGTCAGTCTGAGTTATAAGAGTTTTTGACTTCTCATGCAGATAGTTGATATAAATGAGTCTGTTCCAGCATGAGTCCACTCTATGCTTGACTAAATTTAAACACTTTCCTATTCCCTTATGGAATTAGCAGTTGGTCATAACTTACTCTTTTTCAAAAATAAATCTGTTTTCATTTTATGACTTTATGTCAATCCTTCTCTAACTAGTGATAGTTAATGAATCTGTATAGATGGAACAGAAAGAATGATGAAATGAAATTCAGTATCATGACCAACTTTACCACTATTTTTGAGTTGGGTGAAATTTCCCTGTTCATACTTGATGTCATTTGACAGAACATCAACTGCCACAGTCAAACACATTTGGTGCCCTGCCACTGTAGCATATTATGTATTATACTAACCAATTACCCATCAAGAATGACGCAGGGAGATGGGGATGAGGGAGGGGGGTGGGGATGCAGCACCACCACCCACCACCCCGCTCTGCTGTCCCAGCCCATCCCCGCCGTTGCCTGTCATGACTGATGGGGTGGGGGAGGGGGAGGCAGCACCACCACCCAGCGCCCCACGGTGCCACCTCTCTACCTCTGGCCCCATGTGCCCCCCCCATCTAGCCCTGTGTGCCAGACTGAGGGGGTGAAGCCAGTGCTACACCACCAGCACCCCATGCTGCTGGGGTTCAGGTGTATGTGACGGCAAGGCTCGATTCACCTCTGGCCCCGTGTGCCCTCCCCCACCCCTGCATCCAGCCCTGTGTGCCAGAGCAGGGGGCAAAGCCAGCAGCCACCCACTTGCTCTGGCCACTCAGTCCCCACTGTCATGTG